TCCTGCCCCCTTGGGGTCCTAAACCTTTAGATCTTGTCACCAAGCAATGTTATTCAGGTCTTCTTGAGCTTGCCCAGCACTCCCTCTACCCCCAATTTCAGATGCAGAGGTCTAACAGGAAATGCCTAGAAAGGCCTGTGTGACCTTGGGCAAGTCAGTCAACCTCTCTGGGCCTTTAGTGACACCTTGTGGTAGCCTCTGTTTGAAGTCAAAGTGATTGGGTAAAAACAAACAAAAAAACCCCACAACCACGGAATTTCCCTCCCACTACCCCTTCCTACCACGCCTGGGCCTATCTTCCTGCAACACAGAAGGGCAGCTTTGAAGCACTCCTCCTGCCCACCATAGTGCCAGGTCATGGCTCTGGCCTCTGGCCTCAGTCCTACACCACATTTCCATGAGCTGTGGGACAAGGACATGGCAGACGTGTGATCACCTGAAGTCAGAAAATCTGCAGAAAAGAGAAAGTGAGCCCAGAGCTGAGTGAGACCCTCCCCTGGACTATTTGCTTCAGCCTCTAGTTCCCCCTCTTCTGTTGGGTGTGAGATGATGCCCAGTCCAGAAGTAGACAGTGCCCTTTCTTGTGTGTGTGTGTGTGTGTGTGTGTGTGTGTGTGTGTGTGTGTGTGTATGTATGCTCATGGGTTTTGTCATGGGTCTTCTGCAATGGTATGGTCTCACTCCAAGCTCCAGCTGTGAGACAGGGGCCTCCTTATGTGGGGCTTTCGAGATGAATGCCTGGCTTGCTCAGTCATTGGTGCTCTGACCTCTGGCTTCCTTTCCTGCACAGAAGACTTGCACCCCCTGGTCTTAAAATCCCACCATCCAAACCTGCTCCTAACTGGAGACCTGCTGGTTAAAAGGGATCTAATGAAACCCCTCCTAGATGCAGCTGCTCAAGACTAATAAGGCTGCCCAGAAGGGAGGGCAGGTTGAGAAGGGCCTTCTAGGCCTAGAGCCAAATGCTAATGGTGGAATTTCAAACCAGGTCTCTGCAGCCCAAAACATTTTCTCTTCCAGTTTATGGGTCTGACCCCACCCCCACCCATACCCCCCACATACCCCAGGCATGAGGAGACAGTTTGGGGCAGGAGGAAAATCTGTCCTGAGCTGTCCACATGGTCATACGGTCATATGGGGGTTGTAGAGAGGAAGCCTGGGGGTGGGGGGGCAGCATAATCTGTGGGTAGGGCCTGGGACTTGGTTTGGGCCCTGCAAAGGTTGGCCCCATTCCACCTCATCAAGAAGATTAAGAGTAATTGAGTAGCGGCTCTCACAAGGCTACTTGAAAGTTGGACGTTGGCCTGAAACCCTTCCATTAAATGTGTTCATCCCTGGGATTTGAGAGATCCCTTCAAAAGGCAGGAGTCCATCTGGGTCTTCCTTTGGCTGGAGGAAACCTGGGGTGACCAGAGCAGGGCTGTTCTGACACAAATAAGCCACTTAATTCTCTCCAGTCCCCCTGCTGTGCTCTCCTTCTCCTCCTCCTCCTCCATCTCACAGATGAGGAAACTGAGGCTCAAAGGCATTGATGATTCCTACTGTAACTATGTCTAGTGCCAGGGCAGCCTGAGGTCAGGTGGCATAGCAGAAGGTGACTCTGGGCCAAAGTGCTTTCCTGCTGGGTGGGCTCCAGGGACCACTTCCTCTGCTGGGTCAGAGGCAGGAATGGGGGTTTCTGGGGCCGAGCCAGGCTGCAGGCCAGACCTTTCTCCCCAGCCTACAACACTGTTGCTACGGCATGTGCCCGTTACCTCCGTGCTCCTAGACATTTAGTGGCTCTCCTTCACCCCCAGGACCAGCTGCCACCCTCCCTGCCGGCCTCCTCCCCACAACCCAGCACCCCAGCCTCTGTCCTCCCTGCCCCTCTGCTGCAGCCTCCTTCATCTTCTCATCCTTCCTTCTCCAGGAAGCTTTTCTGTCCCCACTCGTGTGTAACTGGGGCACATTAAATCAGCTTCAGGTCCCATCTCTGGAAAAAGTGAGGGAAGGACAAGAAGCTGCCTCAAAAGGGTTGTGGAGAGGTCGTCACCAGATGAAATCGTGTGGAACCAGGGCTCAGCACAGTGCCTGGTGAATGATGAGGACACCAACAAGAGAGGGAGCCTCTTCACCTTCACCACCACCAGCATCGTCCTTGTGGAATAAGAGAATCTGTGACACCGTTCTGAGCTCCCAGAGCAACCTTGGTCCCTGTCCAAGTTGTCTGTGTCATTACCAGAGTGACTTGTGAGCATGTCCCCCTCCCCTCAGGTCCCCTCCATGGCCAGGTCTTGAACCCCAGGGCACAGGACGACAGGACTCACACCCTTGACCTGCAGGACATCTTGGATTGCTGGAATTTTCTTGCTCCACTGCCCTCCCCAGGCCTGCTGAGAGCGCTCATTATCTCCCTTCCACGGCAGCCAGGCCTTGGGGTGAAGCCAGCCTCAGCTTTTGATGGGAGGAAGACTTAATTACCTTCTCAGGCAGAGCGAGGAGGATAATGAGCAGCAGATGAAAAGCGGGGCAAGGTGACGCCTCCCCAGGCGCCCCTCAGCACCCAGCCAGCCCCACCCCCACCTCCAGACTTCGGGTCCTTGGTTGGCCCCACACAGATACCAAGGATCACCTCGCGTGTCTTTGCCATGGTACCTGAAATCCCACCAGCACCTCCTGTTTGGGTCACACAAAACATACAAGGATCCGTCAGAATCTCCCACACCACATGGGTCCTGGGACAGCCAGATATGGAAATGATAAAGCCAGACGTTAGGGCTTCTGGTTTGTATGAAACCCCCCAATCCTCAAGAAATAGGAAGCAAAGGACAAATTTCCCAGAGGGGGCTAGCAGCAGGGGTGGGTCCTGGCCTGCCTCCGCCTGGGGGCTGGGTTGGGGGCTGGGTTGGGGGCTGTGGCTGGGACCCTGTGCTGGGGCTCAGGAACCTCTTCATCCTTTCAGAGTAGCTGAGGCACTAGGTGTGTTCTTGGCTTCTGGGGGAAGGGGGTAGGAGGTGGAGAGGAGGGGAGGTGGGCGGGGAAGGTGTCCAGTGTATCTGCACCATAGTGACAAGTGACAGACAAGGGAAGAACATTCTCCCAGGGCAGGTCCAGGATCCGGGATTCTTCTTTCCTTGTGGGTGGCAGATGTGGGGTGCTTTGTCTTTGCTCTCTGACTCTCCTGCGGTGCCCTTGGAAATGTCGCTGTGCCCAGCCCCACAGCTGCACAGGAGCTCACCGGGTTGAGTAGCCTGGGTGCTGTCAGTCCTCCTTGGCAGTGGATGGGGACGTCACTACAGCAGGCTCGCTTCTACTCCTTTCCAGAGGCAGTCGCAGGTGCGGTGGGGTGCTTGGGCACCGCAGTCCCTACTGCTGTTCACTGGCTTTTTGATCCTGGACAAGTTAATTTATTCTTCTGAACTCTAGTTGCCTGACCTGTAAATCGGAGATTGTAATAGTATCTCAGGATTCTAGTAAGGATTAAAAAAAGGAAATGTAGGTAACATGCCTAGCATAATACCTGGCTTGAGGCCTATGCACCCAACTGCTAGCTATTGTCATGGTTATTATTATTAATGCCATTGGGCAGTGTTTCTCAGCCTTTTAAAATTCCAGGTTCCTTTGTGATAAGCATACCAGCCTCAAACTCCTCCCCTTAATAGAACAGGATTTAAAATGTCAAAGAAATAAAAGGTTGAGGCAAAAAATAAATCTAAGCACTTATTACATATACTCTTTTAGACTAGGGAGCACCCTCTCCCCACCCCACAACTACAGCTCACTATGAGGGTGGGGTTGAGGGGAAGGTAAGAGCATTACGGCTGCATCTTGGGTGTAGGGCCCTCTGCAACCTCTTGGGCACAGGGCGGCCCTTTCTGGTGGGCTCCCCTCTCTCCTGCTGCCCTCCCAAAGTGGCCACTGGATCCCACCCAGCCTCCCAGCTCTGGTAGCCACGACTTTGAGGGAACAGAAGAAGCTCTTTAGAATACAAATACCTTTGGGCCCTGGGATTCCAGCCGGCACCCTATTCTCATGCTAATGAAGAGAGGAGAGAGGAGGGGGGGAGAGAGAGAGAGAGAGAGAGAGAGAGAGAGAGAGAGACTGTGTGTGTGTGTGTGTGTGTGTGTGTGTGTGTGTGTGTGTGTGTGTGTGTGTTTGAGAGGTGCTTGAAAGGGAAATTGCCAACTGTAGGTCACCCTGCCCAAGTCTGGGCCCTGGGCAGGGGGCTAAGGCCTCTGAGGTCCTTTCTAGCAATACTTCCTAGTACCCAGTCCTGGGTTCCACCCTGGTGCCCCCGAAGTCCTGCAAGTCCCCTGGCTGGGTAGGTTCCACAGCTCAAAGTCTATGAGCTGGGCAATTGCCCTTTCTGAATCAAAATAATAATTCACTTGACATTAATAGCTGCCATTTACCACCCACTTCGTGTCCCAAGCTTTGGGAACACACTCCATGCATCTTAGTTATCTCATAGGATCCTCACTGTGCAGACCATGGAAATGAGGCTGAGTCAGGGAGGCACTTGGCCTTGGATCTCACCACTGTGGTGCCAGAACACAAATCCAGATGTGTATGTCCCTGGGCTCCAACTCCAAGGTCTTGCATTGTCCAGCTGGAAATATGGTGCTGATGGACTTGGAGACCTGGTACGCCGCAGGTGGCATCAGGGAGACTGGAGAGGCCAGGGGGTGGGGTTTCCTGTAGGCAGAAGTCCAGGCCCTAGAAGGTGCTGGCATAGATGAGACCCAAGTGTCGGTAAAGGAGCCTAGTTTGTGGCTCAGGGTCCAGCTGGCAGCCTCCCTAGGGCTGAATCTCAGATTTCCCAGGCCAGGCCAGGCTGGGGTGGGACAGCAGCAGAGTTGGGCAGGAATTCTGGGGCTGACATTGCATTGTGGGTAGGTGATCTGCTGATTGCTAATGAGATATGCTGTGGGCAGGCTCTGGACCTGGAACAAGGCTTCCCCACGTTTTAATTGAGTGAACTCCTACTTTTAGCCCAATTCAAACACTACCTTCCCAGGGAAGCCCTCCCTGACCCCTCCAAGTTAAATTCCTCCCCCGAGATCCTACCAATCTTTGTGGTACTACTTATGTGTGGCTCTGCTTCCTCCCTGGCCTAGGAAGTCCTTGAGGAGAGAGTCCCTGCCTGATTCACCTCCAAGATCCCAGCACCCAGCCCAGGGACTGGCACTCAGTATACATCAAGAAATGTCTGTGGAATGAACAAGGGACTCTACAGAATGGATCCAATGGTGATAGGAACCATCGTGGTGATCTCCCTTCCTGCACTGTCTCCAACAAAAGGAGGCCACTGAATGCCAAGCAGAAGAGAGCCCTCAGTGCAGTGAATGTCTCTGGGCCCAGCATCACCTCTTCTCTGCTAATTTCTGGTTTCAGTTCAGCTGCAGTGGACAGTTCAGGGTAAGCTCAGGCTTGCCCTGCGCATGCCAGCAGGAACTTGCAAGCACACCCCTGAGACTGGCCACCTTTTGCCTCAGGGTCTTGTCTGATGCCAGGGAAGCTTGCCCGACCCCAGAATAGATGCAGAGGAGCTACCAGTCCCGGCTCCACTGGTGGGGGATGGGAACCAGGTGGACAGTTCTGGAGAGGACCTGTGCGCTTCTTGGAGGTCAAGGCAGAAAGCAGCCCTGGCTCTACCACCTGAGCTGCGCTCTGGCAATGTCCTGACTGCTGCTTCCTTTCTCCCTGGGCTCTGACCCCGATTCCCAGGACTTTCCATCAATAGAACCCCATCTTCGTTTCCAAGGGTTCTCTGGGGTATGTGGGAAGCTCCAGGGAAGGAGAATTATTCAGGGAATCATGTCCTCAAATTAAACACCATGGTCCCAGAGGGAGGGAGTGGATGGGGCCAGTGATGCTGGGGCGTAGTGGGGAGAAGGAAGTTGCTGGGGTTTGATGGGAACCCATTTTGCCTTAATTGTATTGTGCACATTAAACCAACAAGTACAAGAACACAGGGGTGGGGTGGAGGCAGAGCTGGAAAGTGGCTGGAATGGTGCACGGGGTGTGAGGCAGGCGGGAGGGTGTCTGGGGACTCATTTGGGATAAGGGATTTGGGGTTTAGACCTCCCTTGGCCAGACAGGGGCTGCTCAGCCCAATTCTCATCAACTAGAATGTAAGAAAGTGGTAGTGAGAGGGCAGGAACCAGGTATCTGCTGAAGTGACCACCTACTAAGTGCCAGGCATCATGCCAGGTGCATCACTCACAGTCTGTTCTACATGCACCACCAACTGCAACCCTTGCAGTAACCCTTTGAGGTGGGAACAATGGCGATTCTAATTTCCCACAAGGGAACTGCACAGACAGGAAAATGACTTGCCCACATAGTGGTTTAACAACTCCAAGCACCCCAGCCAGGACTAGCCTGGTCTTTGCAGTGAAGGGGAGAGGGGACTTGAGGCCAGGTCCCTGGGGAGGCGTGGAGAAGCCATTTGGGGGTATCTGTGACATTGACACAGACCCTCTCTGTATGGCAAGGCAGCCACCCAGTAATGAATGCATTCATCCACGCCATCACTCATGCCAACATCTGAGCCTGCCCAATTGTGAAGACAGAATATGGTCCTGAAAACAAGCCCTGGGTCCTCAATGCCAGGTGGGAAGGGGATGAAGAGCTCTAGGAGGACCACAGAAATCAGGAGGGCTTCTTAGAGAAGTGTGGATAGACCTCAGATCGTCTTCTTTCCTCTCTGGATCCAGGATGCTTCCTCTGGAAACCGGGAAGTGCCATTTCTGCATTGCTCCCAGCTAGGGCTTCTGGGAGGACCCAGGAGGTCCATGCTGTAGGTAAGTTAAGATTCACACCAAGCATGGAAAATGGACTTGGTTGACCTATAGGAGAATAGGCCACCTCTCTTGTTAGACCTGCCCAAGGTTCCTGGGGAACTCTCGGGACAGCTCCTTTTTGCCCCTGAGAGAGTGGGTGAGGCCAGTTAAGGGGGCTGTGGGCTGGCTGGGCAGACAAGGCTCTCCCCGCTCATGCCGCTGCCTCCCTGGAAGCCTGACTCCAGGCTCTGCCTTACTTGGTCATCCTAGCTGCTTGGTGCCTTCTGCTGTGCCTCCCAGGGCCCATCTGCTCAGATACTGTGCTCGATTGCTGGAAGAGGCACATCCAGACTGTGAACCTCCAACCAAACTCTGAATTTTCCCTCATCAGTATCCCACATGGCGTAAACTTTCCACACCCTTACCAAGGAAGTCATGATCTGAGCCCATGTCTCAGGAGTCCAGCAGCAAGTGTTTTCTCAACAAATGATTATGGCGGCCTTTATTCTGTATGTAATTCATCAGGGATCAGCGTGTGGCTAGGGTTGAGGCTCAGTGTGTGACCAGGCTCAGTGTGTGACCAGGGTCTGTAACTAGGATCAGGGTTCAGTGTGTGACCAGTCAGAGCTTGGACTGTGGCCAGGGTTGGGGCTTAATGCATAACCAGAGTAGGGGCTCAGTGTGCTTAGAGGCCAGGGCTTAGTGTGTGCCCAGGGTGGGGGCCCAGTCTGAGATCATGATCAAAGTTCAGCCTGCAGCTGCTGTCAGAAGCGAATGTTTTCAGAGGATGGATTTCCCTTTAGAGCCAGATTACAGGGACTTGGGGACGCCTGCTGGAGCAGGGTAAAGTAATCCTTAAGAGAACAGCTGTGGAGCAACACAGGCTGGTTTAGATCCTGGCTTGTACTGCCAACTCCCACCATGGGCAACGGGCAACGTCGTGAGTTGCTAAACCTTGGGTTGCTCACCTGTAAGTGAGGATAAGGATATGCATTTGTCTTAGTTCATTTTGTACTGCTGTGAGATTGGGCAATGTATAATAAACAAATATATTAGCTCACAGTTCTGGAGGTTGAGAAATCCAAGAATAAGGGGCCTTCTTGCTGTGACATCCATGGCAGAAGGTGAGAGAGTGAGAGAAAAAAATAAAAAGGAGGCCCACCTTGTCCTTTTATAAGCAACCCACTCCTTCAGTGAAGAACCTGCTCCTGTGATGGAGGCCTTAATCCAAGCAAGAAGGTGGAGCCTGGGGCCTAATCACCTGGCATGGGGCCCCACCCCCCAGCACTGTTGCTGTGGGGATTAATTTAATCTAACACAGGCTTTCGGGGTACATTTTTGTACATACCTCCTAGAATGAGAAGGCATGAGAAAGCAAAAAGCACCTGGCTCCAAGGGTGGCATTTCGTGGGTGCTCAGGAAGTGCCAGCCCCTGCTACATAACACAATCGTCAGCACACTGGAGGCCCTGGATCTGGCCTCTTTACACTGGCCCCTGCACCACCCTTCTGCTTCCAGTGAGGGCCAGAGGGTCAAAGGGAGCATCAGCGGCTTTCCATATCAAGGGAACAGTCCTGGGGAACTTAGCTGTAGGCAAGAAGGCCTGGGGGGAGGGGGGCGGGGCCCCAAGTTCTTTGGGGCAGGAGTCTCTCCCCTTTGAGGACAGCCAGCTTTTCTCAAATGCCTCCAGAACTCTGCCTGCTGCTGCCCACACTTCCTAGTGGGCACATGAGCTCTGCAGACCCTGTCTCTTCAGTCCCCAGATTTGGTGTGAGGACCCCAGTCTCCTAGATGAAAGCTTGCAGGGCTCCTTCCTCTGCCCTGGCTTAAGTGCCCCTGGCAGCCCCGCCCTGAGCCCCTCCACCCCAAGACTCCAGGATTCTTCTATTCTTTTTGGCTTCCTCTTTTCTTTCTTCTGTTTGGAGACACACACACACACACACACACACACACACACACACTTTTTTTTTTTAAGAGGACAGAATTCCAACCACCAATCAGCCCTCCCTGTCCCCATCCACAAAACTGATCATCATCTGTTCTCCACTTTCCCAGAGGAGAAATGAAAACAAATGGCTGAAATTGTAACAGGCATGACGGGAATGGGAAAGGTCGTGTTGGCAAGGGAGAGCTGTGGGTGGCAGGAGTGGGCAGGGAAAGGGGTTGTTCCAGCAGGTCCCTGGTCACTAATCTCAAATGGTATAGGGGCTGTCCTGTCAGAAACAAAGGATGAGCTCAATCAACTAGGACTCCCTCTTCCTGTCTGAGAACCTCCATCTCATCAGAGAAGTTTCATGGATCTAAGCCAGACTACTGGGGACACATCTCAGCCCTGAATCTCCCAGGCTGAGTGACCTTAGGCAAGTTCCTTAACTTCTCTGTGCTTCAGTTTGCATATCTGTAAAACAAGCTGTTGCGAGGATAAAAGGAACACTGGACGACCTGGCACCTGGCTTATATAATTTCTGGCTATTATTATCAATGGGAGTGAACCCCAAACATTTCTAACAGTTTTCTCCTATCAGTAAAAACATGTAAGCACACCCCCATATATATTTAAATGAATTTGTTTTTAAAATTATGTGTGTCTTTTCTGTGCTAATTTATTATTTTTTAAAAAATATCTTTTTAGTTGTAGATGGACACAGTATCTTTATTTTATATTTATTTTTATGTGGTGCTGAGGATCAAACTCAGTGCCTCATGCGTGTGAGGCAAGCACTCTATCACTGAACCACAACCCCAGCCCCGCTAATCTATTCTTTATGCTATAAAACATATAGCATAAAGGTGCTATATAGGGTACACTGTGGCTCCCCTGTAATCCCAGAGGCTCGGGAGGCTGAGAAAGGAGGATTGCAGGTTCAAGGCCAGCCTCAGCAATTTAGCAAGGCTCTGAGCAACTTTGGGTTAAATCCCCAGTACCAAAAAACAAAATATAAAATAGTTGGGGATGTGGCTCATAAAGTAATGCGCTGGCCTGGCATGCACGGGGCGGGGGCTGGGTTCAATCCTCAGCACCACATAAAAATAAAATAAAGATGTTGTGTCCACCGAAAACTGAAAAATAAATATTAAAAAATTCTCTCTCTCTCAAAAAAAAATAATAATTTAAAGAGTATAAATAAAGAATAAAATATAAATTAAAATTCTAAAACTTTCTCTGTACACGGTCGGGGTTCCTTTTGTGCCCCCACTGTGGGCAGGCATGGTACTTTTGAAATGTTTTCATGGGCTAGCAGCCTGGGTAAATTGCAGAAAAGCTCCTGACAGCCTGATGTGAGAGTAGAAGCTGGGGGGGGGGCACCTGGAAGCTAGGGAGTGCCGATGTGGGTGATTAAATCATTTGCAATAATCCATTTGGAACAGCAGCTGTGTCTAACATGGGGCATGATGACTGCTCCACAAATAGAAAGGTGACCTGGGAGGCAGTTAGGGGACATGTTCCAAGGGCATGGGGCAGGTACCCTTGCTCCTCACTGCCTTCTTGCTGGAGGGGACCCACCAGGCTGTGTGCCGGTCAGTGGCAATGGATCAGTCCACTCTTTCCCTGCTTGAATGTGCCCTCCTTCTTCTGCCTCTGAATCAGTCTCTCCTCCTCCAGGAAGTCCTCACTGATGGCTCTTCTCTCCTTAATCTGCTGTTGGAACAAGTTCTCTCATATTTGAACCCTCCTCCCTCCTTCCATCTGGTCTTTCTCTTTCTTTGACCTAGTGGTAGCTGTGCTCTGACTCTCTGTTCTATATATGCCACGTCAAACATATCTATTGTTTTTGCTCCATCAGCATCAGTTACCCCCTTTTCTAGAAGCCATAGCCATCTTTTCCATTTGTGAAATTTCCTTATCATTCTAGCCTAAGAGGTCTGCGTTGGCCTCATTCCCATGGCTCTGAGAATAGGTGCGTCACCCAGGCTGAACCAATCAAGGTGCAGTTGTAGTCACATGTTTCAACCCAGGCCAATCAGATCCTCCTCTGAGACTTTTGCTGAAACCACTGGGAAACAGGTGCTTCTATTAGAATTCAGAAGCTGGCAGCATTAACTGGGGTTAAAGAGGTCCATTTGCCTCCACAAGGGGAGGGTGACACAGAGAAGATCACCAAGTTCCTGATAACCTCAGTTGAACACTTAATTCAACTATACCATAGCTTATTCCTTTAGGTGAAACTTATTCCTTTATTAATTCTTAGACCAATTTTAAGTGTTCTTTTTGTATTTGATTTAGAGACAGGGTCTCACTGAATTGCTTAGTGCCTCACTAAGTTGCAGAGGCTGGATTTGAACTAGTGATCCTCCTGCCTCAGCCTCCCAAGCTGCTGGGATTACAGGCATGCGCCACTGTGCCTGGCTGCACCAGACTACCTTTTTTTTTTTTAAAAAAAAAGAGAGAGGGAATCATTTTTTAATATTTATTTTTTAGTTTTCGGTGGACCCAACATCTTTGTGTGTATGTGGTGCTGAGGATCAAACCCGGGCTGCATGCATGCCAGGTAAGCGCGCTACTGCTTGAGCCACATCCCCAGCCCTGCACCAGACTACCTTGACCACAGTGTTCACATCCTCTTTGATTCTTGAAATAGTCTTTTGGTTGAGCTCTCTGCTCCCACTCTTGTCCCCTCAGCCTTCTTTCCACACTGTGGCAGGCCGTCCCTCTTCTCAACACCCTCAGTGTCCTTGACACTGTGGCCTATCAGGCCCTCCCTGATCTGTCCTCTCTTACCAACTAACCTCTGTCCTGTTTCTCTCCTCTTCCCTCACTGTTCCCAGCATGCTGGCCTCCTTGCTGGCCACTTCTTAAGTGCTGAGCACCTCCCCGTCCAGGCCTCTGAGTTAGCTGTCCCTTCTGCTCATTGCAGCCTGCAAGCCTGCGGGTCCTCAAGGCTCACTCCACCATGGCTTCACCACCTCCAGGAGCAGCTCTCCTGATCAGCCAGCAGAACATAGCACCCTTCCCCACCCCCACCACTCCCTGTTTCCTAGGCTGACTTTATTTCCCATGCATTTGGGTTTCATTGTTCTTTCCTTTACTGTCCACTTATGCCAGCTAGATTGCGAGTCCCCTAAGGCAGGCCTTTGTTCCCTTTAGCACTCTGGGGCCTAGGACTGAGCCCAGCCCGCAGTCATTGCTCAGGAAACATGGATTCTGTGAATGTGCTTCTATTCCTGTCACATGAGACTGAGCCCTCTCCTCCTCTTCCATCTCTCCCATTGGTCAATTCACCATTGTGATTCTCCTTCATAATGACTTGAAACGAGGCGGTCTATCTTCCTATTACTTATCCCCTGTTTTGTACATCCTGAGCACTCAAAATGAGTTTGTCCAATAAGGGTCCAAACAGCGCTGGCTAAGAGTGAACCAGGAAGAGGGCATGAGAGCCACTCAGGCAGCCCCTTCCGAGGTGTCCAAGTCTGTTTGGAATGAGCAGGCGGTTAGTTTGCTCCCTAATTACCAGCCTCGCTGTGGACATCCTCAGAAGACGCATCTTTCCTAATTGAAACAGCAGGGTGGATTGCAGGCTCTGGGCAGCATCCTTTGCCTCTCCTGGCAGGAGCCAGAGGCAGGCAAAGGTGTTTCATTAGAAGAGAGTTGGGGGAAGGAGGCGGTCACGGTGCCCACTGCCTCCTAGAAGCATTTCTTGGAGACCTACAATTTAGATGCGCAATGAAACAGCAAATACAGGAATGAAATCATCAGGTCGCTGGTCTATCTCCCCTGGTCCTCCTCCCAACAACTCTCTCCTGTGTAGCCAAAAACTCCAGCCAAGAGGTAGTTCTGCTGAGCAGATACTCAGGTGATCTGTGGCCTCCTGCTCTCTGTGGGCTCAGAGGAAAGTCCTGCCTGAAGTCTCTCTCCTCCATGAAAGAGAGCATCTTGACCCAGGTTCAAGGTCTTAGGGCTTATGTGGCTTGTTGGGGTTACTGGCTCTGGCTCCACTTACTGCATTCTCTCTACTCAGTATCTCCCTTTTTTTTTCTTACTAATAGAACCTCATCTTTCTTCCAGGTTGTACCAAGCCCAGATTAAAGATTACATTTTTCATGTTCCCTTGCAGCTAGAGGTCACCAGTGATATGTAAGACCAGAAGATAATAGTAAACCTTTTTCATTATCCTCCTTATTTTTGCTTCTTGCCTAGACTGTGGCTATAATGGTTGGCATTTAAGCAGCCATCTTGGGCCCCTGACAATGAAATCTGTATGCTAAGGATTGTGGGTCCAAAGATAGAAGGAACCTCAATTCCTAATAATCATGAAGTTGTCTTACTATATTGGTCAGTTTACCTTGACGTATTTGAGTAAGGTGACTGAAAATTAGTCTGCTGCCCCAGGCTTTAGTCATTCAATTTCACTACTCTGGGGCCGCAGGGTACAAACTCATGACTTGGCCTGGAGAATCTTTTTTATTGAGAAACCTTTTACTTTTACTTCTGTTAAATCAAATTTCTGCATCATGAAGTAGAAACAAACTCAGGACCTGCCCTTGTTGGGTCCTAGAGGAAACCATAGTCACACAGCATGGATTATCACCAATATGGATGGGATCAAATCTAGGCCCATAACCAGGAGGTGCTCTGGAGCCAGAGGAGGTGGTGGACTGTAGATGCTAGAGGGGGTTTCCTGGAAGAGAGAGGAATACTGGATCCAGAAGGGCCAGCTCTCAGCTGGGAAGAGATGCAGAGGGGACTGGGTCACCTAAAGACAGGCTAAGATGGCAATGTGAAGGGGCCTTGGCCTCTGTGTCTGTTGGGGACTGAGCAGAAGGAATACTGTCACCTAGAAACATCGGGACCACAGGCAGACCAGGTTCTGGAGGAGACCCAGAAGTGAGACTTCATAGTCTCTTTCCCCTAAGAATGTCAGGAGAGCCTCAGCCACTAGGCCACCCAGGGCCCAAGAACTTGTGGGCCACTTAGGAGCCCAGGACACTGGAGTACTCCATGCTTTCTGCCCTACACCAGGTGCATGTCAGAGAGATGCTGAGGAAGCCCACCTACCTGCTCTGAATTCCTTGCCCCAGCTTCTCCTTCATTGCTTGTGGGCAGAAAAACAACCATGAACTCAGACCCCTGACCTTACCCTGGCCTCACTCTGCCAGCAGTTCGCCCACCTGCCTGTCTTCTACTCTCCGCCCCCCCCCCCAGATCCCCATTTTCTGGGACTCTCAAAGAATTCCGTGACTGTGTCATCAAAGGCCAGGTGGTTGACTTCGTTCCTTTCTAGCCTCCAGGAGAAACCAGCTCCTGTGCAACCTAGCCAGCTCAGAGGGCCCCTCCTCCCATGGCCAGCCACTCTGAGCTTTCTCCTCCCCCTCTCACCTGTCCTTCTCCCCACCTCCCCTCACCCACAGTGACAGAGGTCAGAGAGATATAAACAACCCATGGTTTCCAATTAATTTTTAATTGCAACTTGAAATTCTTAATTGCAGCTGAAACGCTATCTGGTGGAGGCAGGATGGGGGTGGGGGTGGGAGTGACCCAGTTAGAGATGCGAGGCCCCTGTTGGACCTGGTGCTGAGCCAGCAGGGGGGTGGGGCAGGGAGGCA